ATCTTTAAAAAGCTTCTTCCCAAGAACCACTGGGCCAGGAAAGATGAAACTCATGTGGAAGCATCCTCAGGTAGTGTACATTCAAATTTGTTCAAATCATGACCCCCGGGGGTAGGATGGGGCCAAAATGGCCGATCAATGTTTTACATAGGATTAGATAGCGAAAACTTTAGAAATCGTCTTCTCAATTACTTCAAAGCCATGATTAGTGATATTTATAGGGAATCATTCTCAGGTAGTGTAGATTCTAGTTTGCTCAAATTATGACCTCCAGGGATAGGTTGGGGTCAAATGAGGGATCCAAGTTTTACATTTAAATATATTTTAAAAAATCTTCTTCTCAAGAATAGCAAAGCCATGAATAGTGATACTAGTATTTATTTGGAAGCATTTTCGGGTAGTGTAGAATTAAGTTTGTTCAAATCCTGATTTAAAGAACGAGGGCGCTTTTGATTGGCATTCGGCGGCAGGAATCTGGGTGTAATTGAAAAGTGAAAAATTTATCGACATGTCACATGAAATTAAAACATTTTTTTTTATTTATCGGGTTCTTGTGCAACAGGAAAGGAGAATATTTTCACGAAATTGAGCTTTGATCTGCTAAAAAATAACTTGAAAATTGACCAGATCTGACATTTGGTACAAAATGGTACATTTTTAAACGTTTTTCTAAAATTTTTCTATCTCTGGGTTTTCTCTACATGATTTTTAGACGTTATTTGTGTGTATTATAATTCAAAGAAACGAACACAGATTTTTTTAAAAATGGAGAGAAGACCCAGAGACCAAGGAAAATGAACTTTTCCCCCCAAAATCCAAATGTGTGAATGTGGTGGTTTTTTGTCCTTTTAAAATCAATTGTATATGTGTAGGGGTGATAGCTCAGTAAGTTGGGTTACCTGTTGAGTGCATTCAAAGCGAAAAGTTTTTGGTTCGAGCCTTGCATGTGGCGTTAATTTTTCTTCATGCAAACAACCATTTATATTGTCAGTTTCGTTTTATGTACTGATGTATTAAAATTTTGAATCAGATAAATTTTGGTTCAGTTTGGTTCTCGAGCGAAATCATTTCCAATCAACTATTCTATAATGTACATGTACATGTATCATGCATATATGCATTAAATATTTAAGTGTTTATTTTTGTGAAACATTACTATGTTATAGTAACCCCTAGGAAAAACGGACATAAATGTTACAATCTCTCAAGGTCTTTCAAACTAAATAAAAAAAACCCTATGGACTGTTTGTAAAATCTGACCAGCTATGTTAAGCCAACCAAATCATGGACATTTAAACCATAAATGTTTCGTACAAATGATTCCTGCAGATCACACGCCAAATGACTCCATCTTCTTTATTAAAATCATGGATAGGGAGGGAAACAATGGGGAACCAAATTCAAATTTTTATGAAGTTATATATAGGAAGAAAATGTTTTTTTAAAAATCTTTTTATCAAGAACAGCAAAGTAATATGCTGTATTAATATGAAGATATTTTCAAGTAGTATTAAATTCAAGCCCCCCCCCCCCCCTTCTGTAAACTTTTCAGTTCTGATCTGATTTGTGCTTTTTTCCTAGCCGATTTGCTCAGGTGAGCGATGTGGCCCCTGGGCCTCTTGTTGAATACAGAACTGTATTCGGCATATATCCAAAACTTATTTTACCCCATCAAAATCTCCCTAGCGATGTGAAGATGTGCAGTTACTAGTTCTGCCTACTGCAATCCGATTTGCACAGCGATTTGTCAAGTTCCTAGACAGACAGACAGGACAAAAACAATATACGCCCCGAATCTGTGGATTCGGGCGCATAAAAACTGAACAAACAGATCATGAAAATGATGAAATCGAAACCGATGAGACTTAATGACTAGGATGTCGAATTGATTTATACCGATACGATGTTTGCCGAGTAAACATGACAAAGATTACCCATATTATGTGTTAAGAGCAAAAAAAAAAACCAGTTGTACTTGTCTTGCGAAAATTTGTAGACGACAAACGGGGAATGTTGTTTTCTGAAGGAAGAAGTACTATTTCAGTGTTTACACTGAAAATCTTTCAGAACAGAAACTTATAAAAAGAATAACAGCTATATAGTACCTGTAAAGTCAGTCATTCATGAACACAAATGTTTTGAACTAATCTTGAACTCGAATGATCACGTTATAAATATTGAAAAAAAAATCCCTTAACAAGAGTTAGGAAAAAAAACTAAAATAAAATTATTTTGCGTCTGTTTCTGATTTTTTTTATACAAATAGATGGCAATACGTATATAAAAGTTATGAAACAAGTTTTTTTTAGTAAAAAAATTTAAACACAAGAAACTGATCTTATTCATTTGTTTTTTTTTTATTAGCTCTACTGGTCAGAGACCAGAAGAGCTTATGCGATAGTAAGGTGTCCGTCGTCCGTCCGTCTGTCTGTCTGTCCGTCTGTAAACAATTTTTCAAAACGCTACTCCTCCTACAGTTTTGGTCTGATTTCAATATAACTTGGCACACAAGTAGACTACACTAAGATACATAAAATAGTGCATCGGTTTTTGATTTCGATGAACGGTGTTGCTATGGTTACTAAAAATAGAATTTTCTTTGAAATTCCCTTTAAAACGCTACTCCTCCTACAGTTTTGGTCTGATTTCAATATTACTTGGCACACAAGTAGACTACACTAAGATACATAAAATAGTGCATCGGTTTTTGATTTCGATGAAGGGTGTTGCCATAGTTACTAAAAATAGAATTTTCTTTGAAATTTCTTTAAAACGCTACTCCTCCTACAGTTTTGATTTGATTTCCATATTACTTGGCACACAAGTAGACTACACTAAGATACATAAAATAGTGCATCGGTTTTTGATTTCGATGAACGGTGTTGCCATGGTTACTAAAAATAGAATTTTCTTTGAAATTCCTTTAAAATGCTACTCCTCCTACAGTTTTGATTTGATTTCAATATTACTTGGCACACAAGTAGACTATACTAAGATACATTAAATAGTGCATTGGTTTTTGATTTCGATGAACAGTGTTGCCATGGTTACTAATAATATAATTTTCTTTGAAATTCCTTTAAAATGCTACTCCTCCTACAGTTTTGATTTGATTTCAATATTACCTGGCACACAATTAGACTATACTAAGATACATTAAATGGTGCATCGGTTTTTGATTTCGTTGAACGGTGTTGCCATGGTTACTAAAAATAGAATTTTCTTTGAAATTCCTTTAAAATGCTCCTCCTTTTACAGTTTTGGTCTGATTTCAATATTACGTAACACACAAGTAGACTACACTAAGATACATAAAAAAGTGCATTTGTTTTTTATTTTGATGAACGGTGTTGCCATGGTTGCTGAAAATAGAATTTTCTTTGAAATTTCTTTAAAACGCTACTCCTCCTACAGTTTTGATTTGATTTCAATATTACTTGGCACACAAGTAGACTATACTAAGATATATAAAATAGTGCATTGGATTTTACTTTCGATGAACGATGTTGCCATGGTTACTCAAAATTGAATTTTCTTTGAAATTCCTTTAAAACGCTAGTCATCCTACAGTTTTGGTCTGATGGCAATGGCTTCTTTTCTCATCCTTTGTTATAAGTACAAACCAGTAGAGCTACAGTCTCGACAGAGACTTCTGGTTTAATTCATAAAACACTGCAGATTTCTAAGTCGATGTTGAGCCCTTTTAAATGGCATTTTGTAACGTCAAAAAATGACGTTTTGACGTAAAAAAAAATCCCCAACATTGTGCGCAACGTCTATATGTACCTTAATCTGCACCCAGTTTTAAATATCAATATCACCCTTCGATATAATGCTTGTTTTTAAGTGAACATGTACACTAGTATACAAGTCATGTATATATATTATGCTGTCGTCAGTGGTAAAACAATTATCTGTTCTTGGTAAGGATATCGTCAAGGAAAATTCATCTTAAGTAGGCTAAAGAAAAGAGAGAATGATACGATCAGTCTTTGCTATATAGCGGATATGTTTGCACACATAAGGGCTATTAAATGACTTAAAATGAAAGACACATTTTACTATGAAGTTTAACCACATAAAAACCGTGTTGCGTTTTTGTAAACTATTCAGTTCATGTTAAAATTAAACATGACATATTTTTGAAAATAAAATGCATAAATATTTTTTAACTTAAGGCCCCACATCGCTCACCTAAGTAATTTTGGCTGAGCATTTCTTTAACAAATTCCCCCTCTTATATATATTGTGGCCCTCCCCCCCCCCCCGATTTTTAAAGATTTTTTTCCTATATACATGTATTTCTACGTAAAACTTGGATTCTCATTGTGGCCTCGTCCTACCCCCAGGAGTCATGATTTTAAAATTTTAGGATCTACACAAACCAAGGGTGCTGCCACATAAGTTTCAGCTTTCCTCGCCCAGTGGTTCTTGACAAGAATATTTTTAAAGATTTTTCCTATATATTCCTATGTAAAACTTGGATTCCCTTAGTGTCCCCGCCCTACCCTTAGGAGTAATAATTTTGACATTTTAGAATCTTCACTACTCTACCCTAGAATGCTTCCACATAAGTTTCAGCTTTTCCGGCCCAGTGGTTCTTGAAAAGAAGATTTTTTAAGGAACCCCACCTTACTTTTGTCTTTTCTTGACTATCTCCCCTTGGAAGGGGACTTGGCCCTTAATTCAACTACCAATCACGCAAGGATGCTTTGTACGAAGTTTGATTAAAATTTTCCCCGTGGTTGTTGAGGAGTTAAAAATGTGAAAAGTTTACAGACGGACGGACAGACAACGGGTGATCAGAAAAGCTCACTAGAGCTTTCAGCTCAGGTAAGCTAAAAAAAATTACTAGGGTATTCGTGTGCCGCATCCTAAAAATAAGAAGAAGGCATACACTATACTCTTTTAAAATTTATTGGAAGAATGCAGTAAATCACATTTCTTTATTGATTGAATATATAAACTTCATACTAGTAGTTATCTTGTCAAAACCATTCACATTATTTCTAAAGCGATTTCTTTCGTATAAATTAATAAGAAATTTGAAATAGAACTAAGACTAATATGATAATATTCATACAAAACAGGTTACAAAAAATATTTATTTATTTGGCTTTTACATTACAATCAACTTATCTATGATCTTATCTTTTCTTCACATACAGTCCAAACATATCACATATCAATATCACCTCTCAAATCAAAACTTTCCACAATACTCGTATGTTAACAATTCAGAGATGTCTTTTTATTCTATAAATGTCGAAACAAGTACGTTCCGTAGACAAGAATGTAAATTATGAAGTGAAAGGGAGAATGCTGTCTTGCTTCTTTTATCAGAAAACAAAATTAAAAATTAACAATAAAATTTGAATCACGGTTCACTTTAAAATGAACATTAATGTTTCTTTTTAAGATTTGTACACTTTAATGCGTCCTTTCAATCCTTCACGACAGAAAGGGCATAGATTCAGATTTGATGCACAATTTTGACAGCACATATGACCACAGGGATTTAAGACAACTTCATTTTCTTTGTCAAAACAAATCTGACAATCGCCGAAGGTATTCCCTTTCTTCATCTTCACCTCATCTGCAAAATAGTATCATGTTAATAGAAACATTGAAAATGTGTTTGTGAAACACTGATGTCCCCGTATGGCAGCTTATGACGAGGGTTGAATTCTCTAAAATATATGTTAAATTCCACAAGTCAAGGTAAAAAAAGTTGGTACCCAAACGGAAGGTTTTGTTACAAGCTAAGAGATACACCTGTGAAATATGCAAAGCCTACTTTTAATTGTTCAAAAGTTATGACCAAGTTTATTTTTTTATTAAAAAGTGGGTCAAACTCTTAGGTCAAGGTCAACAATATTTACACCAGCTTGAAGGTCTTATCACAATGAATATACTTGTGAAGGATGAAAGCCCTTCATTCCTGCTCCAACTGTTCAATAGTTATAATGAAGATTAAAGTGTGGTATTTTAGCCCACTGTTCAAAGACAAGAAAAGCTTATGCAATTGTAAGGTGTCCATTCGTCTGTAAACACTTTTAATTGCTACTCCTCTTACAGTTTTGGTTTGTGTTCAATATAACTTGGCAAACAAGTAGACTACACTAAAGTACATAAATCTTTATATCGGTTTTTCTTTCTGAAAGGTGTTGCCTCGGTTACTAAAATAGAAATTACTGTGAAATACTTTCAAAATGCTACTCCCCTACAATTTTAGTCTGATTTAGTAAGTTGAGTTTAGTAAAAATAATCAGGCACAGCATTCGTGAAACATTGTTTTCATTCTAGTTTTGCAATATTAATTATGTTTCACAACCTCTTGAAACGAAATTTTATCAAAGATACCTAATTCTAACCATTACTGTTGCCATAAGAGTATGTTTTATGTTTTACTCTGTTTATGATAAAAAGAGTCGGTTCCCGCAAAAAATTCTGCTGACTTTTGTAATGCTTTGCAAATTTGTCAACAATATAAGGGAATTTATCTACTTGTTTGGGGTTTATAAAATCTGAAACAAAGAAACCTTTAACGAATCTCAATTGATTTCAGCCAATTAGAACGAAGCGCACGTGCATGCGCTTGAGTTTATTCTATTTTGGCCAAGTAATCATGTATACACTACTAATATATATCCTTATATTGAGTTTCAAAGCATTTCATAAAAAAATAGAAAGTTGCGGGCATATAATATTGGTCATATCACGTGTTACACGTTCGTGCACATGCAAGCAAGCGCGCAAAAATGACCTTCGTTTCGCAAATCTACATAACATGCCTACTGACCATTAAAAGGTTTCACCTAAGTCGGATGAGGTGTTTACGAGATCACTTATGAGATCACAAAGGAACAAGAAAGCAACAACAACATATATGTTCGTTTGGGAACAGAAAAATATAAGACTTAGTATACATGTATTATAGTGTCCAGGAATGTTTTTAAAGAGTTTTGAGTCGTGTCATTTACGTGTGGGCAGTCGGTCGGGAAGGGGCAAACTAAATATTTTTTAAGGACGGTTTATATGTAATAATCATTTTGAAGTTACGCACCAACACTGACTTTTTTTTCAATTCCCAACCAAACTTTTTTACTTTTTGCGCAATGTCCTGACTTCTTGGACACAGTTAACTGATAGAAGCCTTCGTCATCACTGTTTAGGAAATTGATGCATAGCGCACTCATCTTATCATCTGATGTTGATCCCTTATATTTTCCAGAATATCCAGAAAGAACAGGAAGTTTTTTCTCTGTTTTGTTGTCTTTAGAGCTTTTTGTCCATAATTTAGTTGTATTAGGCGCACTGTTCATAGTTGCAATGAGCACTGCAGTTTCTCCGGCTTTGAAGTTTTTTGACGGGTCCTCAATTTCTAGCTGTAAATCTAAGAAAAAAGTGGAATATTCTAGTATGCAAACATCTTTACATTTATATTTTATTTATTGCTGATTAAAAAGTGTACTCACATGTTTCGTAACTAATATGTACTGTATCGCTTTTTGTTGTCCCAACTGAGTTAGCTACCTCACAAAGGTACTGAGCGTTATCAACGTAACACTCCTCGCTCACTATTAATTTTGAATATGTGGAATAGTCCGTCGAGATTTTATAACGTTTATCCAAAGGACAAATCTCCTTTTCTTCATGTTTTCCAATATATTTCCATGTTATACTTGTGAGTGGATGAAAGGAAACAAAATACACAGCGCATTCCGAGTTTCTTTCGTCCAACAGAGTTGGGCCAGTAATACCAGCTATAAAAGGGGGAACTAAAACATAAAAGAATAATTATGCATTAATGTATTTATTGAGAATAAAATAAATATTGGTTGAAGAAATAAAGTCCGCGTTTTTGTGAATGTTGCAGAATAACCTCCCCAGTCTCGAAATGTTGTTTGAAACATAAAAGTTGAGGCGTTTGCCGATGCTTTTATATTACAAACAACATTTCGAGACCGAGAAGGTTATTCTGCATCAATCACGACAACAAGGACTTTATTTCTATTCTACATAATACATACAGCTGTACATAGCAGCTCTAAATCTGATCTATAGAGAAACGAATTAGGTCACTATGCTGCGATACGCTGTTCCATTTAGCACCAGAGTGTAAATTTGTTTATCTGAATAGAACGCAGACGATTTCTGCTTTCACCGCATTAAAATTAGCATTATATCAATAATAAATTTATTTGTAGCTTTAACTAGTTTATATAGATTAATCTTTTTGAATATACAATAACAAAATCAGTTTCCTATTTTACACTTTATCACTACAATCACAGTTAAAACTAGTAAACTAATTGTTCAGAGAACAATGAGACGTCTTTCCACCTTTTTAAGTGTTTCTGTGTCCTTTGGCTTGGGGAAAAAAAAACGATTTCCAAATGAAATGTGCCCCCAGCAAGATTCGAACTCGGGACCTTCAGATTGACAGGCAAAATGAAAGCACATGGATAATAACAAAAATAGGCACACGTGCGTTTTTAAATAGTACAGAAACACGTGTATTTATTTGTTTGTGATGGAACATAGAGAAGAATAATGAATAGTTCTGAGAAACACGATTGGTGGATAATGGTAATGCCGATTTCCTGTAAAAACAATTCATTTGAGTTTGTTTATACTTTGAATAGATTGATTTAATCATACAGAGCTTATTATACGTTCGAACTTCCGTGTCGGCACTGTGTTTACAATTTATAAAAATATAGGCGCGTTCGTTTTGACACATATGGTGAACTCATAGGTAAGATTAAATAATCATCTCTATTTGGATTGAATTAATTGTTATCAGCGTAAATTAAACTTGAAAGATGCATTTCATGAGGAAAGAGCGTGGAAATTTATTTGATAGGAAAAATTCGCTATTTTCCAGATTCATTCGATTAAAAATAAATCTAAATAAAATTTTGAAAGAAATTTGAGTTAGGATCAAGGTCAAAGGTCAAGGTCATTTTACCCCCCCCCCCAAAAAAAGAAACACCTGTATATAAGTAATTTTAATACTCTTTTAATAACCTTGACCTTTGACCTTGACCTGTCCTCAAGGTCAAAGGTTGAAAGATCTCCTGCATTGTCCACATTTCTTTACGACTTGTCCTTAAGAAGTTTTCAGTTCTTCGTAAACATGAGAAACTGTCAGGATCAAAAACTGCTGAAAATTGGTTTACGTATTCTTTTGTGCTTGTAGTATGAAAAGTGTACTAAATTAGTCGCAGACATTGTTGAAGGTTTCGTACCTCTACGGTTTACGGTTTCGGAGGAGTAGCGATAACAAGGGTTTACACTGAAAGGGCCACTAACTTTTAGAGGAATCAATCATAGGGGACAAGCATGAAATCTCTGAAATGGTTTTAAGAGTACATACCAAAGATGCAAAGATGTGTTGAATTTGGTGAAGAACAAAAGAGCTATAAAAATTGCTTAATTTGACATATTCTGAATGACCTTGACCTTTGACCTTGACCTAAATATTAAGGTCAAAGGTCAATGAATCTTTTGCAGTTGGTCCCATGTCTCTACGACTTGTCGTTTAAGAAAAAATTTTAACATTCATAAACATCGCAAACATTCAGGGGCAATAATTCATTATAGGAGTTTACGTATTCTTTCGAAAAGACAGATTGAAGCATCTACTAAATAAGTCGTAGACATTAGTTAAGGTTTTGTAACTCTACCTTTTACGGTTTTGGAGGAGTAGCGATAACAAACATTTATTGCGAAAGGGGTTGTAACTCCTTGAGGGGTCAGAGTTCATATACGTAGGGTCAATTGCGAAAATCATTTACGAAGTACATTCTTATGCTCTATAAATCTTTTCGATAAATCTTGAAACTCAAAATCACACGGCGGAAAAATAAGAAGAACTAGGAGACTTATTGTTCAAAGAACAATAAGAGGTCTTTCCACCTTTTGAATTTCAATTTCATTTATAATTTATCTCTTTAAGATTAAATTTCATAAAAAAAGAAACCAGGAATGGCTTTAAAGAAGAAAAAATATGAAAATTTAAAAATTTTCAGGTGACCTTGACCTTTGACCTTCAAATCATATTCAAGGTCAAAGGTCAAGGGTCACATTGTAATTAACCTCCTATCTCTATGACTTATAGTATTAAAGTTATAAGGTTTAATAGTAAGCACAAAAGCATTATAGGGAAATAACTCATTCAAGGAGTCACCAGATCCTATTGCGCTTGAACATAAAAGTTTTGCCTAAAATCCCATCAGACATTAGAGAAATTTTCATGTCTTTTCAGTTTTTAGAGTACATATTATAGATGCAAAGACCTAAAAAGAGCTTAATGCATGGTAGAATTCGGACTGCATTTGTTGTATATTGCGGACTAGCACATTTTAATTTAAATGTCGGAAAGGGGAATGTTTAAAGAGTTACCCAGCATTTGTTTCTTTCTAAGTTCTAAAAAAACATTATACGTTTAAATGAAGCAAACGTTTTTTTTTTAATTTTTTTTTACTAAAATATTTTTAATGTTATCATCAAACTTTAGAAAGTAACATAACTCTTAAAACATCCCCTCTTTTTGCTATCAGTCATTTTGAGGAAATATAGGCATTACATCTGGCAATTAATCAAGTAAGAACATATATAGAAAAATTTCTTTAATTAAATAATTTTAAATATACATAACATCATGCAGTACTTACAATGCATCTGCACAGCTTGACATTGAATAAATATTACGCAGGTAACATGGAAATTGTTAATAAAAGTAAACAATATTTTATTGCATTCGATAAAATGACATTTGACCTTTGAAATGAAGTCCATTTTTTAAATTTTTTTTAAATTGTCTATTTTTAGTTGATACAATTAAATTCAATGAAAAAGAAACCAGAGATTGCTTGAAAGATAGGAAAAAAATTAAAAATTAAAAATGATGAAATCATCTTGACCTTTGACCTTCAATAAATTTTCAAGGTCAAATGTTATGAATTGCATTGCGATAAAGCCCATGCGTTTATGACTTTTAGTTTTAAAGTTTAATGACTAGTGTAAAGAAGTTAAAGGGTATAAATAACTCATATAAGCCTAAGGGGCCATCAGTTCCTTTCAGATGTACACTGATGAATTGAAGTAAAACTGTTTGTCTAAAGATCCTGAGGGCATAAGTGAATATTTCGTGCCTTAACATTTAACGGTTTCGGAGGAGTAGCGGTAGCAAGGTTTTTCACACAAGGGGCTATAACTTTTTTAAGGGTCAATCTTAGCAGACAAGAATGAAATGTTGAAAATAGTTTTAAAAGTACATATTAATGATGCAAAGACAGATAGTATACATGTATGTCCAATGAAAAATGAGGTACAAAAAGAGCCTAATTTCTCTTTTTTTGAATAACCTTGACCTTTGACCAATGCAGAAATTTTAAGGTCAAAGGTAAATGCATCACATGCAGTTTGTTTCATGTCTCTATGACTTCTCGTTATGAAAATTTCTAATTTTTTTTAAAATCTAAAATTCAAAAAGTTTTTCGATAAGTCTTGCATTTTCAAAACATAAGATAAGAAATAAAATAATTAAAAGAAAAACGCTCAGATTCTTATTGAAAATTATTCATCTTCTTTGAATTTCAATTTCATGAAAAAGAAAACCAGAGATGGCTTAAAAAAATTAATTTGAGAATGACCTTGACCTTTGACCTTGAAAAATATTCAAGTTCAAAGGTCAAGGATAAAATTGCAATTAACACCATGTCTTTGCATCTTATAGTTCGAAAATATAAGGTTTAATAGTAAGTACGAAGACATTAAAGGGCAATAACTCATATAAGGGGTCATCAGATCCTTTTGCACTTATGCGATGAAGTTTTGGCAAAAGACCCTCAAGACATTAGTGAAGGTTTGGTGTCTCTACAATCTACGATTTCGGAGGAGTAGCAATAACAAGGTTTTTCGCACAAGGGGCAATAACTTTTACAAGGGTCAATCATAAAGGACAAGACTGAAATCTTTGACAGAGTTTTAAGAATGCATATTACAGACAGAAGATAGATAGTATATATGTTTAAGGATAAAAGATCTATTAAAAGAAATTTATTCCTTATATTTGGAATGACCTTGACCTTTGACCCTGAAATTAATTTAAAGGTCAAAGGTCAATATAGGTCACAGGTTACAATGCAATTGACGCCAAGCCTCTACTACTTATACTTTTTAAGTTATGAGGCTTAGTAATAAGTGCAAAGTTGTTAAAGGGCAATAACTTATATAATGGGTCATCAGATCCTTTCGCACTGATCAGATTGAAGTTGTGCCTAAGAACCCTTAAGACATTAGAGAAGTTTTCATGTCTTTTCGGTTTACAGTTTTGGAGCAATAGCAAATAAAATGTTTTTTGCACAAGGGGCAATAACTTTTAATAGGGTCAATCTTAAGGGACAAGAATGAAATCTTTGAAACAGTTTTAAGAGTACATATTAATGATGCATAGACATTAAGCATATGTTGAAAGACAAAAGAGATATAAAAAGAACTAAATTTCTCAGTTTTGGAATGACCTTGACCTTTGACCTTTACATGAATTTTAAGCTCAAAGGTCAATTAATCTTATGCAGTTGGGTGCATGTCTCTACACCTTCTCGTTTTGAAAATTTTTAATTATTAGTAAAATTCAAAAAGTTTCAGGGGCAATAACTCATTGAAGGGGTCACCGAAGACTTTCACAATGAATAGATTCCAGAGTCCTCTGAATTAGTCAAAGACTTTAGTGAAGGTTTCATATTTCTACGGTTTACGGTTTTGAAGGAGTAGCGATAACAAGGTTTTTCGCACAAAGGGTGATAACTTTTAATGGGGTCAATATTACGGAATACGAATTTAACCTTTTAAATAGTTTTAAGAATACATATTAATGATGCTAAGACAGTTTGTATATGTTAAGAGACAAAAAAGATATAAAAAGAGCTTAATTTCTCAATTTTGGAATGACCTTGACCTTTGACCTTTGCAGTAATTTCATGATCAAAGATCAATGAATCTTATGCAGTTGGTCCCATGTCTCTACGACTTGTCGTTTTGAAAATTTTTAATTATTTGTAATATTCAAAACGTTTCAGGGGCAATAACTCATTGAAGGGGTCACCGAATGCTTTCGCAATGAATAGATTGAAGAGTCTCCATAATTAGGCAAAGCCATTGGTGAAGGTTTCATACCTTTACGGTTTACGGTTTTAGAGGAGTAGCGATAACAAGGGTTTTTAGCACAAGGGGCAACAACTTTTAAAAGGCTCAATCTTAGGGGCCAAGATTTATATCTTCTAAAGAGTTTCAAAAGTACATATTAAAGACATAAGATAGATCGCATATGTTTAAGGACATAAGAGCTATTAAGAGAAATTTATTTCTCATAATTGGAATGACCTTGACCTTTGACCTTGAAATGAATTTGAAGGCAAAAGGTCATTGAATGTTATGCAGTTGGTTTCATGTCTCTAAGACTTTTCGTTTTGAAAATTTTTAATTTTTAGTAAAATTTATAAACTTTCAGGGGCAGTTACTCATTGAAGGGGTCAAAGAAAACTTTCGCAATGAATAGATTGAAAAGTCTCCTTAATTAGTTGAAGACAATGGTGAAGGTTTTATATCTCTACGGTTTACGGTTTCGGAGGAGTAGCGATAACAAGCTTTTCGGTGAAAGGGGCAATAACTGCATAAGGGATCTAAGTTAAAACATGGGGGGTCATTTTTCGGAATAACTTTGAATATCCAGTATCATGAACTATAAAGTTTTTCGATAAGTCTTACGGTGTCAAAACATAAGGTAAGAAATAAAATAAAAAACAGAAGCATTTCAAGAGGTCTTTCCACAGAAAGGTGGAAAGACCTAATAAACAGAACAATTTCAATAGGTCTTTCCACAGAAAGGTGGAAAGACCTAATAAGGTGTAGGGAGGTCCGTGAAACAGTCCCGCTTAGCTTAAGAAACCTACATTCATCAGCTTCTTTTTGTAGTGTGCAAATTGCAAAAGATGTAACAAATCAATGTGGTCTGAATAAGTATTTCATTCTTAAGTCAAATGTATATTTCAACTGCAAAGATTTTATAAGTATCTCTGATCTGATCATTATTTTCGTGATTCATTTAAGAATAATGTCCGCGGCATTTCTTTGTTCTCTGCAATAATCGTAGTAGAATTAAGGTTAATTGAAGATATATACAATCATTGCCAAATTCCGCATGATCATAAGAATGTTTCCCTGTAGTCTTCACAAAATTAATTTGCGGCGCAGTAAATATAGGGTCTTCTGCAGAGTATGGAGCTATTCTTAGGTTACAGGTTCGATTCCATTGCGGTCTTTCTGATGATACAGACAAAACAGAAGGTGATTGCCGAGTATACGTCAAATTCGCAGGCCTCCAACTCGTGGTTGCATCTTCGTGTGAGTGAAAAATTCTTGAGAGGTCATCAAACGACAAACATTGATATTTATGACATATTTTATAAACTTACCATTTTCCAAAACGAAACGAATGGTATTGCTTTGTACTTTGCCTGTATAATGTGACACTTCCACATGGAAAAGGCCTTGGTCATTGATGTTTACTTTTCGTATTAACAGGTACTCTTCATATTCTTCCGTAGTGCTGTAATATGTTTGGCAATCACGAGACATGCTTTCAGTTATTTTGCATACACCCTGAAGATATTTGTGCCAAGTGATTTTACTCAATGGCCTATTGGCATGAATTCTGGCAAAAATTCTTGCTGTTTCTTGAAGAATAGGGGTCTCTGATATAGACAATATCACACTTGGAGGGGCTAAAATAAGAGGATATAAATCACTAAAATGGTATGCTTTAAGAGGTTTATAATATTTGAGATCTATAGACACCATACCGTCTAGAACACGCAAATGCATGTTTCTGCTTGTTGATTTTCCAAATCCATTGTATACTGTTATTCTGTAATATGCGTCATCCAGCACATCACAATCATGTACTAACAGAACTGCACCACTTGAATCATAGCCCGATTGATTGTATTTATCACGCAATATATTGATGGTGGTAAAATTATCCTGAAAAGCTTTCATCCATTCAATGCGCTGTACTGGAGAATTTGTTCTAAAAGTGACAGAAATGCTGGCCTTCCCTCCATAACACACTTCTCCATCCTCCGGCAGAATGATTTCTGCAATAGCTGTGGAAACATTTTTGAAATCAATACTTATAATTAACTTAAAGTATAATTAAATAGAACATTTAACTCTATTTCTGAAAGCGAGAATAACACAGCGCAAAAATCACGCAATGCATAATTTTTGTCACTGCATCCATGGATATCCCAAACAACCAAGGTGACCTTAACAGTTGATGAAATCTTACCTTTTAGAATCTTTAGCATAAATTTTGTGCTTGTTGTTTTGTCATCAGCAGTCTGAACGACAGATTCATACTTCGCATCATCTTTCATTGTTACTTTCTGTAGTTTTAAATAGCAACCGTTTTCCTCAATAGTTTTGCAGGGAAATGTATATTCAGGGTCGAGTTCTGGTTTCTGATTCTCCCAAAGCTTCATTTCTGTCTTGTTTTCATCTTGCAGTTTTAGCCATTGAATTTTTTTAATTGGTTTATTTGATCTAATGATGAGTGTCAGCGTAACGTTATCCCCGGAATCTACTTGATATGGCCCATTTATTGTGAGAAGAGGTACAGCTAATGATAAATAAAATCGTAGGTGAGAAAATTGGAACTCAAACTCGATTAATGTTTGATTGTTTCTTGTTGAATTGAATGTAAGTTAATTACCGTCTTTAAGTACCAGATGTACTTCATTACTTGTACATTCTCCTGCAGTATTTTTTACTATTAGGCGATACAACGTATCATCCTCTGCAGTCAAGTCCCGGATCTCTAGCTTTGGATTCTCTTTGTCGAAAGTTGAACCAATATATTTTCTGTGCACGATATCAATATCCTGAAATGATCCATGGTACATCCTTTGCCAAGTCAACAATTGAACCTCCTCATTGGACTTGATGTTTGCTTTAATGGTTCTCTTTGATCCATCGGTAAATACTTTAACACGTGGAGGCGCTAAAAATAAATAATTACATTGCATGTTCGCTTTATATGCTCAATATATTGAAAAGTTAAACCTTTAATATTCTTAAATTCCCGAAACCCGTTTCCATATTTATAGAGAGCACAGGGAAATTCAATTTTATAATTTCCGCCCCAGCCCGGGGTTGAACTCTAGACCTACGGAAACTGTCTCCTAGCAGTACAGGAACATCGCATTAGACCGCTCGGCTATCTAGGCAAGTCAAAAAACTTGCCTTCGATGCCGATGGAATTCTTACAGCGCAGCCCTACACTACACAGTCATTGAGAATAGAAGTGAGATACGGTTTTTTGGACATTTGGTTTATTAGAGGATCGTTAACAATACATGTTATAATGAAATTAATTTTTATTTATAAGGCACAATTTACAACAACTCTTAAACTATCATAACTGCCTTAAGTGAAGAAATATTAATATGGAAATCACTGAGAAATTCACTTTTATAAGGATACCCACTTCAGCCCTAGCCCGGGGTTGAACTCTGGACCTACAGAATCTGTTACTGATAAATTATACACCTCTTAGTTTGGGGGGAAAGGTAAATTCAAATCACTTTGGTATGTCCATCAGACTCAAAATTGAAAATACTGTCACCAGGAATTTTTTGAAATAGTACAGAATTAGGGTTGGCAGAAATCGGTATTTCAAAAATTGATCATAACTTTTAACTTTATTTTTGTTGAAAAGTGGATTTAATCATTTGTGTCATTTGAAAAAAAGTTCTTCATTTTAAATATTTCTGAATATCGTCCAATAATAAAAATATTTTTATCATGTATTTTTATGAATCTCTTAATTCTACTACTCATAACCAAGAACTCATTAGAATGACTTAAAATTACGATCGCTGTGTAAAATAACTATTTTGCAGCATCTAACAACAAGGAATCATGCTCTATACATTTCACTGACATAAAAGCAAGATCTTCTAACTCATCTTACCCCGTGGGGATCCGGGTTAGAATAGGTCCTCAGTACCCCCTTGCTTGTCGTAAAAGGCGACTAAATGGGGCGGTCCTTCGGATGAGACCGTATAAACCGAGGCCCCGTGACACAGCAAGTGTGGCAGGGGTGAAGATCCCTCCCTGCTCAAAGGCCGTAAGTGTCGAGCATAGGCCTAAATTTGCAGCCCTTCACCGGCAATGGTGACATCTCCATATAAGTGAAATATTCTGGAGAGGGACGTTGAACAGTATTCAATCAATCAATCTAACTCATCTTATTTTTTGTAAAATCCTGAGACAAAGAATTTCGATTAACAAACCTTAACACCCACGTTATTAGTGTTATCATTTAATATTATTAAATTCATAAGGGCTACGAATACTTCAGCATCATATGTTCTGCAGAGCGATCCCCCACCACTTTTTATATTTCTTTTTATCTAAATTATAGTAATTAAGTGTTTGTTTACATTACTTATTTGTATGTAAATCATTTTTACAAGCATGCATTAAAATCGTACCTTTCAATATCATAAGCTTACATTCCGTGCTTGTTGTTTTGCCAACAACAGTCTGAACTACAGCTTCATACTTCGCATCATCTTTCATTGTTACTTCCTTCAGTTCTAAATAGCAACCGTTTTCCTCGATAGTTTTGCAGGGAAATGTATATTCAGGGTCGAGTTCTGGTTTCTGATTCTCCCAAAGCTTGATTTCCGTTCTGTCTTCATCCTGTATTTTTATCCAATGAATTTTTTTAATTGGTTTATTTGATCTGATGATGAGTCTTAATTTTGCGTCCTCACCCAAATCGATCCTGTGTGGTCCAACAATTACGAGCAAAGGTTCCACTAATAAAAAAGAGATGTTTTCGTAAGAAACTATGGTGGCATAAGATAATGAAAATAAGCATGCAACATATATATGTGTAAACATGCTTAGCACATATATAATGTTTACTTGCAATTTACCAAAATTATTAGAAAATACAATTTTGAAAAGAGTTAATCCACTAACTAACGCCAGTTTCTTACATCATACATACGCATTCTCTTTAGAGAAGTGGACGGGCTATCGCCCACATGTACATCAACTTCTTGTCGCGGGCCGACTTACTTTAGATTCTGGAAAACTTGTAAAATATAGAGCTTATGACACCCTACACTTCAACTAAAGTTTCGTCTGAAATGTGTCCGATTTTACACATCACACGTGTTACATGTACGAGGGGTTGTCAAAAAGTTCGTGAACTGAGGTAATAAAATTAGTACTATGTAGTCTGGGCTCTCAAAATTTATGTGGAACATAAAACAACACAAAAAAAATAAATGTTCAAACTTTTAGCCTGATACGTTCATTATTTGCCAAATTATTATAAAATAAAAACGACATTATATGATCACCCGGCGCTGTCGTCGTTTATTTTTTTGATGTCGTCCGATAACGTAATTGCTTTTTCAATGTCCTCTTCTTCTACATCATACACTTTTTTTGATGAGATTCCCTGGAGCTGAGTAAGGACTTAAACCCGCCTTGTTTGTATGACTTTACAATGTCATGAACAGTGGCCGTCAATGAATGTATAATATTCCAGATGGATAAACATATTGGGAGAGATCCGCGCATGATTGTTCCGCATATTTTGCTTTTGGGAGTTCAATATCTACAAACATGATCAACGTCATTTTTTACAGGATTGATTTTTCACAACTTGACTGCAAATCGACATTAACTGTATACCCCTTTACTCTCTGAATCTGTTTTGACAATAAAAGACAAGTACTCTGGATGCATATTATTTCTCTGTAGCCAGTTTCAACATATTTTAAGTCTATACCAGTTTTTTCAGGGGCAAAACTTTATAGAATGTTGGAAACGGAAACCCCTCCCCTCTTTTGACGTCATTTTCAAGGCCTCATTTGTTTGGACATTCCGTGTAAAATTTACGATAAAATTTCATACAATTTCCAGAATGAAGTGAAAATTTCCTATTTTATAGAACAATTATGTCCCGACACATACCTGAAATAACGGGATTTTTGGATGTCAAAAAAGCATATCAAAGTAGTTTTTCTCTGTTACACATGGGTCGAAAAAACGTCGTTTTTGAGGTTGCGCCGCCTGGACATACCATAGCTGCTTGCAAAAACATTACTAATTTTTTTAAATATAAAAATCATGATTTATGGTTTATTCTTTGGATAGAAAAGATGATGCTAACTATATATATTTAAAAATTCATTGATGTACCTCAAGCGGTTTTAATTTTATGGCGCTAGTCCACGAACTTTTTGATAACCCCTCGTACATTGTAAATTAAAAATTTCAACACAAAACTGCAGGACTCTAAATTAACTTTTTTCCCTGCTTGTCCATTCAAACAAGTGACATTTACTTGTCCGAACTTCAACTTTACTTGTCTTTAAAAAATTTCAATAAAGATCGTTTAATTAATGCTGCCAACTTGAAAACTGAAGTATATCCCATTACACATGGTATTGCTTGATTAATTGATCATGATATAACAGACACATAAAACAAAATTTAATCTAGGCTTTCCGTCCTGACAACAACATAAATGTTCACGAGTGAACTTATCAACATCAAACAGAATCCAAACTTCGTAAATCTCAAACCTTTCTGGTAGCATGCAATATTAGTGAACTTTGATGCCGATCAAAATTGTGAGCTCAATATTGATAGCGATCCCTATCGGGATCAAAATCCGGCTTTTATGTAGTTTCCGTCTTCTGAAACTACCGATTAACTTTCAACAGTCGTTCTTTTATTACGTAATAGTAAGATCATATTAAGAGAAGTCTTCGTCATGAAGAATGGGCGGAGATTTCTTTTCATATGATCTTTCTGACTTAGAACAGAACCTCAGCCATTCAAATAAATGGATTAAATATAAACCCCTCCCACGGTTGTGTTATATATAAGGCTCAACTTGACCGCTCGTTGTACATATCGAGCACGCAATCAATATCAAACACGCGTTTTTATAATGGACTCACAACCCATTAAGGTTAGCACGGGATTATATGAAATAGCTTGATTTACTGGGGAAATGGTATGGTGAAGATATTAAAGTTATTGAAAAAATGAATACCGATGTAACAAGAATCGTAATATCTATAGTTTTGAAAAATGATTGTCTTAGGATGACAAGGCCCTAGTCAGCAGGAGTGGGTATCGCTGTCTCATATCAAAAATAAATTAGATGAAAATTGTGATTAAATCTGTCTTCAAAGACAAGGTTCGTCACTGATATACATGACGATGGTTGTATTTCCTGTATGTACCGGAATGTGAAAAAAAATAATATTCAAAAAGGTGACAAAAGTTTACAGTGGGAAAAAAAGTGTAGCAAGGCCTAGAAAGTTTAGATATCATTGTAAACAGCACGTGGGTTTTGAAAAATTTCTCTTTGTGTGCTGAACAAAGACCAATGAAAACACCCCCATATAACTGTCAAGTGAACCAATCAGACACCGTTGAATTTTTCAGAAAGAAGAATTCTTCACCACGAAGAATCAAATCATCGCCAAAAAAATGGAAGAATTTGATTGGCTGAATAAGTAGGTTATGTTCTAAATGTATTTAGAGACTCCTTTACATTAAAATGCACTGTCTTGTTCAATCGGATAAGTGTCCAGCAATATTCATTTGTCCGCATTTGTTTGTCAATGTTACCGGACAGGCGTTAATCTCGAGTCCTGAACTGTCACAAGAAAATCAACCTTTACGTTTTGCTAATCCGTTTTCAAAAGTTTCCATCCAGAATTTAAATTTTAAGCAAATAGCTCTAGATAGATACTCGGAGCTCCTCGGTTGGCTCGTGCCTTGCATACTGAATGGAGTACTAGTGTAGCAGAGTCAGCAAGGAATGCCGATTGCAGTAAAATAGCAATAGTTTGAATCCGAGAACAAAAACTTGTAAATATGGATAAAAGTTATGAAAGGCTTGGTTTTCTTGTGGCAGTTCAGTTTATTAATGCTAAAATACATCTGTTACATTTACGTAAAATAAGACAAATTTCAGACCAAATGTTAATTGAATTGTATATCACCGTGTCTACATTTTTCAGGATTTCCAGGATCAAAATATGAAGGCTTTCGTAGAGAAGTTGATGAACGCGATGCCTATCCACTTCTTTAAAAGGAAAAGTTACTTTCGTGCAAGATGCAACATGATCCTGCAACTTTTTTTAATTTTATCATGTACCCATGCATATGGGACTTATTTATTTAAACATATGCTAGGTAAGTATAAAGACTTGATAATGTCAACATGCAAAATAGTGATGGAAACAAGGGAGTTACAAATATATCGCATGTTTACATGATTATCTTGCACGTCAACATAGATAAGTAACATGGCAACAAAGTAATGTTTAATATTGCATGTCAGATGCTGCCGTAAGAAATTAAAATTGCACATATCAGTTTGGTTACAGATATTTTCACAATTTTCTTGTACGTAGATACATGTATCTTACGTGTATAAAGAGGGCAGAAATATACCAACATAGGAAACAATATTTAATTGTATTTTCAATTATAATTATTGTCTCGATGAAAATCAGTAAACTCACCATCTTTAAGTACTAGGTGAACTTCATTAGTTGTACATTCTCCTGAAGTGTTTTTTACAATAAGCCGGTACAACGTGTCATCCTCTGCGGTCAAGTCCTGGATTTGTAACTTTGGATTTTTTTCGTCAGTAGCTGAAGCACCTACCTTATATTTGCAATATCTATATCCTGAAATGATCCGTCGTACATCCTTTGCCAAGTCAAAGAGGTCACTGGACTGTTTGATCTAATATTTGCTTCGATATATCCCTGCATGTGACTCGCAGATAAGGTAGCAAGTGGTGGAGCTATTAAAAAATAAATTTCCACTTATCTGTACGTGCTTAAGTAAGGAATGTGGAATTTTTAAAATGTTAATATCATGCTCGGGGAAAGGGGCTGTCCCCCTTTTTCCAATATTTTTTTTTAGTATAGAAAAAGATTTAAAGACAGATAATCCCTCCCCCAATTTTATCGCCGTTAAGTCAAATATGGGTAATTTTTAAGATATTAATGAATTGAATTTGATGAAAAATGAACTTTAAACCTTCTTCCATCTACATAAAAGAATTTTCGAGTTGGGCATTTTTTTCTTTTGACCTGTCAAGTTCCTCTTGTATATTACTTTCTTTGTGCACGAATTATTCGAAAGATCAACCTATATGTATGGAATAGGCAAATGTCACCTTTCCTTTTTAAAAATTTATTTGGTAATCGTTCAAGACATCACCTTATTGCAAAGGGTGTAGATTACGTTTTGTTAAAACTTCTATAGATTGCTTACTACATAATTATATAATGGACATAAGCGATACCTAAATCTTGTAAGTGAATTCATTTGAAAACTTCATATAATTTTATTCAAAAGTTGATGACATTGACCTACTTTTTAAAACTTGTGTCAATTCTTTTTTAAAATGCTTGATATATATTTTCGATATTTGAAGGGCTTTAGTCATCAAACGTCAGCTGGTGCATTTTGGGTATCTGAGTACATACAGTATATATTTTAAGACAAGATACATGTATGGTAACGGCCGAATCTGGCCCCTTGTTTGATGCAAAAACCAGAACGCATTTAACTTGTTCAAATTTGTAGTTAAAAACTTATGCTTGTTCTAAAATCGGCACTAAAATTATTCAAAGCCTACAAAGAGGCCCGCGAGGATGCAGAAGTGATGTTTTCCCGAATTTGGATGAAAAATTCTTCAGCTGACAAATTTGAATACTTTAAAGTCTTTTATCAATTGAAATATCTAGAATTTTGTCTTGGAAAAAAAAAACTAGATATGGGTCAATGTAACATGCAGTCTTCCGCGTTGCGCAGCTGTTAGAAAGTCTGCCCTTGAGTCGCGAAGTAAGGATTCCTTACGTCGTGTGCTCCAATCCCTCTGTAGGACGTGGAGACCGGTCCTTCGGATTATGCTTTATAAACTGACTCCAGTAGGTGTTGGCACGAAAAAAGACCCCTCCCTTCTCAACAGCCCTGAGTGTCGAGTATAGGACAAACATTTGTAGCTCTCCACCGGCACGTTGGGGCCCATAGGGGTGAAACTTCTCTAGAGGGATGTTAAACATACAATGCAACAATCTTGTCCGAAAAATACTTCGAGAACCCAAGATGCGTCAAATGAGAAAGACATGGCGATTTAAAGGCACTTTGTACCTAAAGTACTAAGATATAACCATATAATTTTTAAAGTAAATCAAACTAACCATTTTTTTTTTATGTTCTTAAAGGACCTAAGAGGTTTTATTTGACAAAATTGAATTAGTACGTGAAATATTGAAATATAGCCTCAGAACTTTTAACAAATAGGTCAAAGTGACCTACTTTTTAGTTGACATTATTAACGGACCCAAGATGCACAAACAGACAAATTTTGATGATTCTAAGCCAATAATAACAAAGCTTAAGTTCGAAAATTCAGCCATTAATTTTCAAATTTCGGAGGAAGGAAGCTTAAACTGTTCAAATGTTAGCATATTACGCACACCGGCTGTTGCTATAACGCAGAACGGAACAAAAAAATCAAAACATTCGAAACAAGAAGACAATTAGTCGTTTGAATCGGGAAGGGGATAAGTTCAAACTCCAACATCTTTCAGAACAATTAATTTTTTTAACTCTTATTATTGACATTTACAAATAGCGTGGGGATTTCAATGAACATATCTTTACGCGTGAATTGAATAGGGTAAACTGCCCCCTTTTACGAGTCACTGCTAGCATTATCTGAATGTCAAAACTAGTTATTCTTGTCTTTACAGATGGGCTTTATGTACATGTATGTGCATATATAGTCTTCTGTCTATTACAAGACAATATTATACAATTATGGACTTCTGTGGTTATAAGGACTCATGGCAATTGATATTGACCGAAGACAGAGAGTGATAGCGACCGAGCCTGCGAGATCGCTATCCTTTTCTGTGTCTGAGGTCAATATCAATTGCCATGAGTCCTTATAATCACATATTGACAGTTCACTAAGTCCATAACAGTTTTATTATATAATCACTCAAATTAAATGCACTAACAGAGTCCTAACTGAACGGACTTTTGGCTGTCATTACGTCACAATCGTTAAATTCACGCTTCTTATATTATGACGTCACGTACTACGTAACTTTTGTGCAACCAAACGTCGTGTCTGAGATATCAATTTCCACGGACGTGCTTTCGATATCACAAAAGGAGGAATATCACGTGACGTACTTTCAGCCAATGAAAACTACGAAAATAAACATATTACATTTATTTGATGAATGAGCTTTTTTTTTTAAAAAAAAAAAAAAAAAAAAAGTGTATGATACATTCAGATGTATACTCAGGATTTGAGTCTTATCAGTAGGTATTTTATAGAACCATTGCATGTGCAAGTACACCTGCCAGCTCTGAGGGTGTGCATGATTTAAGAATATGTCATCGTTTATTTAGGATAATTTATTGCTAGATGTGACCTTTGAATCAAGAATATTGCTTATATATCTACTTTATATCGAATTTAGGCTATTTGACACAAGTGTTCCGTTTTCCATTCCGCGGTTTAGCAACACTCGGCGCACACCGATCGCCGAAAACAGATACATGTATATATATTTCAATTTGTTTATTCATGTGATCTCGAAAAATATTAAATGTTACGGAATATTAATATAGAGAGTAAAGTAATAGATTTTTTCATATTTTACTTGTATATTGGCGAAATTAAGGTGAGCCAAAGAGTTCCATACATATGTACCTTAATTAAGATTTCACGTCAATTTTTATGTGATATTAATGCGCATTTAAGTTCTATGGACTATATACAACTGTATGATTATGTGACCCTAAATAAAAAAGTTTTTTCACTTGCCATTCAATATCTGAAGATAAAAGACTTTACTCTCTGATTCCGTATTAAAGGTTTCAACATGGACTTTGTATCCTGCCTGATCATTCATTGACACTTGATTTAATTCCAATGAACATACTTCCTCTTGACTTGCTTTGCAAAGAAAAGTAGTTTGTAAGTCTGGTGAACCCATGATAGACGTCTTATAATCTCTATTAGGAGAAACTAACAAGGAATTGCAGTATGACGTCAAGGAAGTTGGTCGATACCGATGGATCTAAAATAGAAAAAAAAACAGTATTGCGTAAAATCACTATTAAACTCAGTCAGTGTTATTTTGCTAAAGAAATAATGAATTTTAATACCAAAAAAGGCCAAAAACATTTTTTAAAATCCACACTAAATCCTAGTTTATCTCTGGAAAGGTTGTAGTGATACAGCTAACCAATGCACCCATAACCCCCCCCCCCCCAAAAAAAAATATATTAATAAAGAACTAATTTTAAAATACGCACGTTTCGATATTATCTCACTTGTTGCACTCTATCGTTGAGGAGTGGAGTTTTGTTGCCACGTAAACAAACAGATGCGACAAATATTTATATATCGGAAAGATTGCATCATCGATATACCGGTCTATCTAAACTATATGATTGTCGGATTGCACTCCACAACTCGAGAATAACCGAATTAATGTAATGGCATATTTTTTTAAAGCAAAAAAAAATCGTTACAAAAAAGAAAATATCAGTGGATGTGAGACTTTTCAGACGAGGGAAGAGAAATTGACCCCTAATAAATACAGTACACATGCATCTTGATTCTTTTCCTTATTATTACTTTAAAAAAAACCCATCTTTTTAGAAAATGTTTGTGCAATCAAGAAATCGGCTACTTTTTCGTTTTCAAGCACCCTATAATTGATGGTAGAGTTGTATATATGCATAGTTGAGCTTGATAAAATCATTAAATGAATCACTGCTTAAGATTATTATCTTTCTTTAACATTTAATATAAATTTTGAAAGCCATAAATATTGCTCATTTATTTTTGCACTTTTGTATAAAGAAACAATCTGTCCCACTTCAATTCTGAAATGGATACTTTTTGCGCCTCTAACGTAGGAGAGTTACAATCTCGAAACTTCAGTCTTTCAATCACAGGCTTTCGATCCCTTTAATTCGAGTGTGGAAAAACAAAGACGGGGGAGATGGAAAAACACCTTTAGTATTGAATTAGTAGATAATTGCTATAAGTTCTATGGTCGATACAATGATCTTGTCAGCAAATGCAAATTATCATGGAATCAAATGCCGATTGAAGTTTTTCATACTAATTGTTATAATTGTGAATTGTTTAATTGGTAAATGCGATTATTTACACCCTGAATTGACGACGGATTTTTTCATTATTTCCCTATCATGACAAGGATCACACAGTAGATGTGATCGGTCGGCAGCCGATGTTTTGGAGGTTCATGTTTGCTCTGCTCGTATTTTTTATTGTTTAATGGACTTTTGATCTTAAATACTATTCGTTATATCCATATGTTTCATATTCGAAATACTCAATTTCTACAATGATTCACAACTTTCTTAACACATGAGCTAGGTAAAACATGAGAATACAACATCCATTATGATTATTGAGGTTCGTTCGCAGCGAAATGTTACATCACCAAATATCTCATTTTACCGAATTAATAACCAATTTGAGCAATATATAATATAGATGTTCAAACAAATCTTAAACAGGTCGAGTTTACTAGATTTTCTGACGTAAGCATAAATTTGCATGTAAATGAGCTATCTGTTTACTTTACCCGCCGATGAATGAGTCGCAATGCATTGTGGGCTACAAGTACTCAGCTGTGTTGAAAATAAAGGCCAGTCTGAATTGTCCATTGGGAAATTATTTTCAATTATTTTTTTTATATTTATGGAAGAAATCTTTAAATTGATTTATAATCTTTCATTTCTCTGCTCTGCTCATATTAACAAAATTTGCTTTTATGAAGCCTTATATCAACTTAAAATACATAGGCGTAAACAATTGTTCGAAGAAACGTACATGAAGGTGCTATCGTAGTTTTTTTCACGTGATATACGTGTCCAAAATTTAAGACAGCAGTTCAAGGTGCGCAATTATTATTTAACCCCTAAATATTATCAAAAAGTGTTTAATGTACATGCAAACATGAAAGCTTTTGCACCGTATTCTAAGCTATTATTTATCATCTAAAACAACTCAATATTATATGTGAGCAGTGAGCAATGTCTTTGGAATATAATACTGCACTTAAGTATTACAGTATTTACAGTAAGACTCGTTTAGTACGAACACGGATATTTCGAATTTACGGATATAGCGAAGTCATCTTGGATCTCCAGCTAAATAATTTCATGAATTTCATATACGGTTATAACGAATAACGGATATAGAGAAGTAATTTCATAGGTCCCAGTGACTTCGTTATGACCGAGTTTTGCTGTATATAATACAGTATTTCAATTTTGGACTAAAAAAGTAATGAAGAAGCACTACGGGTTTTCCGGTGACGAAGTAAATATCATGCAGTAAACCGAGAAAACCGCGTATCGCCAATGAATCGTAAACGCGCAGTAGGCTATCATGCTTTGGGACTCCTTCACTTGATTGGAGAACGGGTATGACGAAACAATCGTAACGTGTTGAAAATTGTCTTCCGTATAAGGTAGTGGTCTCGACCTGTTAAAACTGTAACTGATTTTACAGTGTAGCAGATATTTTATATTCATATTTTGGTTTGAGTGAAATTCCAACACAACGAGCAAAGAAATAAAATAAACCGAACACTTTGCGACTGATTAAAAAGAAGACAATGGCCGGATGCTTTAAAAACTAAACGTTTTCTTTGTCTTTATTTAGAACATACATCCTTAACTGTATTGCGTGATGTATGTTCCTTCCATCGACGAATAACTTCTGGCTGGGTTCCATCAATAATCTTGAACCAAGTAATAGCCTTAATGGGTTTATTTGATCTTATATGGAGTTGAAGTTTTGTGTTTTCACCATATTGGACATTTTCTTCTCCACAGATAGTCAGGAGAGGACGAGCTGTAAAAAGTATAATGATTGACAATAACATTAAGGTACATCGATACTCTGATAATAGAGATAACTCTTAATGACATAAATGTCTATTATTCCTTTATACATTTGTCAAGTTGAAGTGTGCTTTTGCCTAACTTTGCCCCGCAAGTCATTGCTATAATTGTTTGTATTTTACTTAGCATATCCATTTCCTTTGAAAAATCATAAGATTAAAGAAACATTTGATATGAGTGAGCAAAGGGTTTATAAACCTTAAGTACATATATGATAAAAATCATTGACAAAACATAGAGGAGTTTGATTGCAATACTGAAGGCCCTTTATGCTAGGTTTTGGTTAAGGTGCAAGTTTCTAAATGCACTTGAGATTTCAAAGTAGAGATCAGAATTATCGTACCTAATAAATTGCCTTGTCATATTGAAAACTCCAATTTTAATTGTTTAACAATTATAGCCAAAGTAAAAAAAAATTCTTTCGAAGTTCTACAGGCTAAATTAACGTTGGCTAATGTAAGTCTTTGTCACTAGGATTAGAAATGTGAAATACAAATAGCTCCAATTGTTTAAAGCAATATGAGATGCAATTTTGAAAATTTTATTTTCCTGTTAAAATGTGTTGTGATAAATTTGTATGTAACTTAAACCTTTATGATGAATTAGACTAAAATAAAGCCAAAGAAAGACTTCTACATACAATCCAACATACAGTTTTGTATAAGAAATCAGTATTGTACGGGACGACAATAATGTAATTTTTATTCAATTGAAGCTTATACATGTAAATAGTTCTTTCATCTCAAAGGAACAACAGAAGTTTATTAACGTTATTTTTTTCTGTCATTGAAAAGGATAATTACAATTTTGCAACAAAAAATTCCGACATCAAAGTTGCAGCTCATTAATTGCTTTAATTGTTTACATATCTATTCGAGGTTTTAGTATTTTAAAAGAAGAAGACTGGTCAAACATTAAATGTCAGAGATAAAATTGATTATTTTCAAGGGTAAGCCATTTCACAGGTAATACATAAACATAAACATATAAGTGAAAGAAATACACATGTTAAATATAAAGTCCATAAAATTATTGACAAGGTTTTTGATTCCTGCTGTCGAAGACAGATAGGCTAACGGAAAACAGGGCTAAACAAGATTCCTCGAATATTCGATGACAGGGGCATAGAAACATCCCAACCTTTATCACCACAAAACGATTTTCTTTACTTATCGTTTCCCCAGCTGCGTTTCTGGCTGATAAACATTAGATTGCGTCATCCTTTGCCGTGACATAGTCTACATTAAGGTTGGATTTTGGTTGTAATTGTACTGCCATAGTATTTGAAGATGTTTATATCTATATCTTCAAACTCACAATCGTATGCCTTCTGCCAACGGATTGACTCGATTCTCAAATTTGAAATGATAGTTACAACAATATGTAATCTTGTGAGCGTTGCTAACACATGTGTGCTAACTAGTGGTGGAGCTACAGAGTGTGGAAATGACATAAGACATATTCGTGATCAATTTTCAACAAAAAAATTCGTAAAATGTCTTATTCACAGCTCTTCATCACTTATTTCCGACTTTTGCTTCCTACACATTAAATAAACAAAAATTATCTAGCAATATCAATGATGACAAATGCATAGGCAAATGCAATTTTTATATTTAGTTTGTTGAGCATTTTCAGATACTTTAAAGTATAACTTTTTTTATCTGACATGCATATTTTTGGGTCGCTTTATAATTGGAGAATTATTGCAGCAAAAATGTAAAAAAAAAAAAAAATTAACTCAATCATTTGAAAAATAAACAAATTAAGGGAACGAAAAACCACCTATTGCAAATTATACACCTTTGATTCTTGTATTGAATTTATATTTCAAATAACTAGGTCAATGACCTACTTTTCATGCTTGTGACCCTTGAGTATTTCTCGGGAAATACCTCAATGATTTACACAGTGACCTTTTTCTTTTCACTCACAAAATATAATAAGCAACCTAACTAAATAATGAAATTTTATAGCATTGAACCAAAGTCGCTTCATGTAAAGAAATGATTAGATTAATAAATGTGATAACTATCACAGTCCGAATTTCCTCTATAATATTTATATTTTTTCCCAATTTTTAATCGAATATTACAAAAATCTCAATGATAACTCTAAATTATTTATAGTCTCATTTTACTTTTGTTGTCCTAATTCTCATGCATGATATTAATAATATATAGGGTCACTGATGAAATTATTGAGATATTCAGACACTGTTAAATGAAGACTGCCCTGTCATCAGTTGTCAGATATTAATACACAAAAGCATCACGTGGTTAAAAAGTGCGGGAAAATGAAGAATGATTCGGTTATCATTTCATACATACAAAAATAGTGTAATAATTCACAATAAAAACATATGTAATAGAGGTAGTAATTTAACTTTAAAGTATAGATTTTGCAAACAGATTTATAAAAGTTAGAGGAATCCCACCATAAACTGTATATGATACTGTACAATTTTTAAACTCATGATGTAGTTCAACAAAATAAAGTGAATACATTCAGTACATGTACGGTAATAGGATAAACTTGCTATTTTGCTTTTTGTCTTATTAGCTAACAAAGATCAATGTAAACATATATGCATTTTTAATTGCCATCGTAGGCAGCCAGTTGCCTCATGTTCAAGGATCCCGACAATACCGTTGTTTTTATGTCAATACAACAAAGGTATTCTTTCAAAAGGAGTTGCAGTGAGCAGAATTCATTCTGTATATTCAGATTTTGAAGCACGTCTTATGGTGTGATATGTCCGTTCCTCTTTACTGTCTCCTGCTGGTAGTTCTTTTTCTGAATAGAACAAATTAGTTTAATACAGTAAAAACGAAAATACATGTTTTACTTCTTTCTTACACTGCAAACATAGTATAACTATGTCTGTATGGATATAAGACACTTCTGAGATACCTTTTTTATATAACGTCATGGATTTTTTAAATTAAATGCATATACAGTCTGCCTCATTTATCTGGACACTTTTGCTCCCAAGGAAATTATCTGGATTAATGAATTGTCTAAATTAAACAAACTAGGTATATATGAATAAAGATGAAATATCTTAGTTTCTAAATGTACGCCACACTCCATTAAGGCAAAGATCATGGGGTTAAAGGTAAAGAAAGAAACATGTGAAATACAAAGAATCAGCACTAACTGTTCAAGAGATAAGACCAAAGGATAAAGTTTTTGTGGGGAAAAAAACTACATGTACCTGTCAGTGACACATCAATGCTTCTACAACTAGCAACATAACCAATATATGTGGAAGAAATAAAATACTTTTTTTTTTACATCTTATTCCATTGTTTTTAGTTCAGTTTTGTCCCTTATTGCAGCCCGGAGGACCGGGCTGCTCTATACATATAAGTTTAAGTGTTGGTATATGGGGATTGGGGTGGGAGTAGTTATTCAGAATTAAAAGTTTTCTAAACATTGAAAAGATTGTTAATCAGAATGTTCTTTCCCTTTATAAATTACGAGATACATAATATATTTACTTCCATAAAGTGAATCTTTAAAAATATATATGTTTTTCATATTTAATATATAAAGTTGTTTAGCATTTACTATACAAAAAACGACAGGTCCCTTTTTTTTAGAACATCGAATTTTACTTCTCGCATAAAAACTTACTCTGCACAGTTCGTGATTTATACATGTATTCTAAAATTAAAAATTAAATACATTTTTGAATATAGGTGATGCATGTGTCTAACTTCAATTTATATTTTATGCAGCCAACATTTACTCGAGGAATTGAAGTTTAAAATGGTATCGTTTTTTGTTTGATATTTATCCGACTATAAGTTTTCAAAATATTCGCGACTATCGTCTCCATCAATTAGACGCATGCCTCTTCACACATATCAAGCGGTTTGATGATCAAGACTCATTTCCAGTTTACTTTATATATTTTCCGGGCGACAATTGATGGTTACATCAATGTTTTCTTGTTACCTTATTGATATAAATCCAATTTTCTTTTGTAACACTGCAGATGACACTTGATTAGCCAAGGATCAATTTTTTTCCCATAAGATCTGTAACATGATGAAAATAGAATAAAAATAAAGTAGATAGCTTGATCTATTTAAAAACTTTTGTAGAATTTATTAATTATTTTGTCAGCATTGTTAAAAAAAATATGTCACTTCTATGTTTTTTAGCAATACTGACTTCTTCAGATTATAATAGTTACCAATTCTCTGGTGCGTTCATTGGCTGAAACAATCTCATTCAAGTTAGAAGACATCTTTACAATTTACACTTTATAATTTTTTGGTTATTCAGTTTTGAATTCAAGTAACAATATTTAATTTTGTATGTCTATAAAAAAGCATTTACTGGTACATGCATTTAAGTCAATAGAGCACCTGACTAGTGATACAGGAGTCCCCGGTTAGATTCCCAGTCCAGCCATACATATTCCTCGTTTCCTGTCACACAAGTATGCCACTTTATTTTCAGTTTGCTGAAGCAGATCTGGCTTGAACTTTCCTGAAATATTAATATGATCTTTGAGAAATTATTGACTTGAGAAAATGCTTCTAAATGTATACAATAATTTGCACATTATGGTGCGTAACTTAAAAATACAGGGACTGAAAATCATAAATTTAAATTTATAATACATGTATTATAAAACACCTCCTTTTTACCACCTCCAACCCACACCCCCTAGTTTCCTGCTACCCGACTGATCCTATTTTTTTTGTCACTTGATCCTAAAGTTGTTTCTTTTTTTCAATGCAACTGTTTACAATTTGATTTTTATTAGAATAATTTATAGATTTTGCAGATGTGACCCATTTTTATGTCGAACATGGCAAATCTCAAGAACAATCAATTTTTTTAGGAAGGTCGATCTCTATGATATTTTGGATTTGTTGGTAAAACTAAAAGGTATTTGGGGAAAGGCTGAAGAAAAGTCATGCATACACAATT